TCCAAGGGGTTCCTCTTCTTGACCTTTCAGTCTTCAGCATGTCTACTCGTCACTAATGCAAGAAACATCATTCTCTGCTTGCCATTCCTAAAGTAGCTGTTTTTTTCATGTTAATATTCCAGCTGTTGTCACTTCACTGCTAGGCTGATTAGATCATAATCTTGCTTTTACACCAACTCTCACTGTAGCTTCTCTTGTCCCTTGCAAGAGAAAGAAACCCAGTCACGCCAGGTCTCAGGAAATGGATTAAGTGGCTCTCCTTATGAAATTGGTGCTGATTTATGGGAATTATTCTCAAGGCTGGGATGAGGATTAATCTGTGTCCCGCTGATTGACCTAAGCCCTAATGGAGCAAATTAGAGGTGTGTATTCATTCCCAGACACCAAGATTGATTTTAATGGTTTTAAAGCCAATGGCACAGTGTGGGTTGATGTTGCTGTGGAGATCTTTTAAATCAGTTTATTATATACACCAAAACTCCCTTGTAATGGAGAAGGACTTCCCAGAAGAGCATGTAGTGACAGGACAATGGGGAATGGCCTTAAGCTGGAAGAGGGCAGGATTAGCTTGGATATTAGGAAGAAACTGTTCCCAGTGAGGGTGGTGAGGTCCTGTCACAGGTTGCCCAGAGAAGCTGTGGCTGCCCCATCCCTGAAGTGTTGAAGTCAGGCTGTTTGGGGCTCTGAGCAACCTGGGGTTGTGGAAGGTGTCCCTGGATGTGGAAGGGAGGTTGGAACTAAGACTTTCTTTAAGGTCCCTTCTGACCCAAACCATTCTTCACCTGGTGAAGGAAACTGGATCTTGAGTACAGAGCTGTGCTGCAATTACAAATCCCTCTGATTTGCCTCACACATTATGTTCAGATAGTTTCCAACACACTTGGTGCTGTCACTTGGTCTTACAAGTTTCCTCTGAGGTGTCTGTCTCACATCTCCCAGGATCTGGCACATCCATCTGTGCTGGCGATTCCATACCTCGACACCCATCTGCCTGAAGCTGCAGTGGTTCCTGGCACTTCTTCAGGCAGAACAGCTGACTCAGAGCCTCTTCTCCAGTCCCTCCTAAAAGGCATGAAAGGTATGGATATCCCTCCTTGCCTACGACTGCAGTTTGCAGTGCTCGCACTCCTCCTGTTCCAAATAGTGATGGATTTCTGCATAGCTTCACCTCACGTGTGCCCTGGCATCTCGTGGTTCTCTGAGACCCAAATCTAGGGCCAGGCCTCCTTACTGTCATCATTTTCACCCTTTGCATTGCTCTTGTGCCATCCCATAATTTATCTGCACCAGATGCCAGCCGCAATCTCATTCCATGTGTTTTTCCAACTGATGTTTTACCAGTGGGGCTAATGGTTACTTGTGTAAATGTCACTTTATAGCATATTTCAGATGTAATTAACTAAGCAAACTATGATTTACAGTAAATAATTGTTCTGTTTAAGAACACTATTTTCTAGTAAACTCTTCTGTAGTAAAACTAGAATATAGAGGGTAGGAAAAACCAGTGTAATTTCAACCAGAAATTGTATTTTGATGATCCTTGTAGGTCCCCTAAACTCAGAATTTCCTGTGACTCTGTGATTCCGTAATTTGTCATTGATGTGGATGTCTCTCTGCAAGCTGTGAATTTTTAACAATGTAATGATACAGCTGCTTCAGTGTCTCTATTTATGGCAAATATAAAATATCTGGCTCTTCTCTTGATTTGTTTTTAATTGCTCAGTGTTTTTCCTGATTTTTTTTTCATAAATTTCACCCCACATTCTAATCATGGTCCATTTTCTTACCAGAGAGACAGACTCTTGACTTTTTAGTGCTGAAACTGGTCCCTCAGCTTTAGACCAGTCACATCCAGTTGGAAAGTCTTTTCTGTCACTTTTACCACTTGATTAAAACATCCTATTTCTTATTTTTGATATTTCTACAGCATACAATATTCTCCAAATAGCTCTATATACTATATACCATGTGCAGATGGAGACATACAGCTGTCTCAACTCCTTCAATAGCCTGAAATACATGGAACACTGTCCTAAAATAAACTACCTTGAACTGCTTTTCTCTGTATTGGTACTTTTTATAGATACAGAAGAAATTGCTGCTTGGATTTTCCAAACCAACAGGCTGCATTCTTGAGGACCTTCTCTCTGGTAAGGCCTTTCAGCATCTTCTGCTTTCATGCAAGGATTTCTGTGGTTTTGTTTGGGTTTTTTTTTTTGTTTGTTTTGTTTTGTTTTTAACTTTCTGAATAATCTAGAGCAACCTTTAAAGCTTTACTGTGAGATAATTTGCATGGAGTGTATTAAATTCACCTGCACCCTGTGTTCCACACATCAAGCCCTGTTCACAACAGGGATGCAACTGTTGTGACACTGCCCATAATTCATGGTCACATTCTCAGGATGGCCTTGGGCTGAAGAAAGGTAGGGTTTCAATACATATTAGGAAGAAATTCTTTACTGTGAAGGTGGTGAGGATCTGGCACAGGTTTCCTGAAGGTGTGGCTGCACCTGGATCCCTGGAAGTGTGTATGACCAGGTTGGATGTAGCTCTGATTAACCTGGTCTAGTGGGAGGTGTCCCTGCCCACAGCAGGGGGTTGGAACATGATGGTCATTAAGGTCCCTTCCAACACAAACCATTCCATGATTCACCAGGCTCCCTGCCCTGAGATGGGCATTTCTAGGGCTACCTGCACCTCTCTCCCCTGTTTCTGGCCTGGGCAAGCTGAGATGCCTGGGCAATGCCTGCACAACCCCAAGGCCTTCTTAGGGGGAGCACCAGACTGCTGCCCCAGCATGAAGCCCCTCAGACCCCTCAGATTTAGTGGGAATTCCCCCCCAAACCAAACAAGCAACCACTACCACAGGCTGTGCTCGGGAGCCACTGGCAGCCACATCTGTGTCCCCACTGTGGCCACTTGTCCTTGTGGACACAAGTAAAACATCTTCAAAGGTGCCCTGGCAGAGCCCTTTCTCCAGGGTCACAGGATTAATCAGGTTGGAAAACACCTCTGAGATCACCAAATCCAACCTTTGAGTGGTCTCCACCATGTGAACTAGACCATAGCACTAAGTGACACATCCAGTCTCTTCAGGGACAGTGACTCCACCCCCCCATTCCAGTGTCCTGCCACGTGTTCTGTGAAGAGCCTCTTCCTAATGTCCAACCTAAACCTCCCCTGGTGCAGCTCGAGGCCATTTGCTCTTGTCCTGTTGCTGTTTGCCTGGGAGAAGAGGCTGGCTCACCTGGCTACAGCCTGTCAGGGAGCTGCAGAGAGGGACAAGATCATCCCTGAGCCTCCTTTTCTCCAGGCTGAACACCCCCAGCTCCCTCAGCTGCTCCTCACAGGACTCGTGCTCCAGACTCTTCCCCAGCTCCGTCGCCCTTCTCTGGACACGCTCTGTCACCCGAATGTCCTCCTGAACTGAGGTGACCAGAACAGACACAGTCTCTGGGGGCCCTGTGGGTAAACCCTGGGTGTTCCCCCTGGGTTTCCCTCAGCGATCTGGCTGGACACCACCGGACAACATCAGACATCGCCGGACATTGCCAGACACCATTGAACATTGTCGGACACCGCTGGACACTGCTGGACATTGCCGGACATTGCCGGACACCATTGGACACCATCAGACACCACCGGACATCACCGGACATCGCTGGACATCTCTGGACACTGCTGGATATTGATGGACATTGCCGGACATCACTGGACATTGCCGGACATCACAGGACATTGCCAGACACCATCAGACACCGCCGGACATGACCGGACATCGCTGGACACCGTTGGACATTGCCAGACATTGCAGGACACCATCGGACATCGCCGGACACTGCCGGACATTGCTGGACACCTCCGCACACTGCTGGACATTGTTGGACATTGACGGACATTGCTGGACTCCGCCGGACATTGCTGGGCATCGTCGGATATTGCCAGACATCGCCGGGCACCATCGGATGTCCCCGGACACTGACGGACATTGCCGGACACTGCCGGACATTGCCGGACACCATTGGACACCATCAGACACCACCGGACATCACCGGACATCGCTGGACACCGTTGGACATCGCCGGACATTGCCAGACATCGCCGGGCATCGTCAGAAATTGGCGGACACTTTGGACACTGCCAGACATTCCCGGACACCTCCGGACACCGCTGGACATCGTTGGACATTGCCGGACACTGACAGACACTGCCGGACATCGCCGGACACCATCGGACATTGCCGGACACCGCCGGATACTGCCGGACACCGCCAGACATCGCCAGACATTGCCGCACATTGCCGAACATTACCGAACATTGCCGGACACTGCCGGACACTGCCGGACACCGTCAGACATCGCCGGACACCTCCGGACACCACTGGACATCGTTGGACATTGCCGGACACTGACAGACACTGCCGCACATTGCCGAACATTGCCGGACATCGCCGGACACTGCCGGACACCGTCAGACATCGCCGGACATTGCCGGACATTTCGGACACTGCTGGACACCGTCGGACATTGCCGGACATTGCCGCACATTGCCGGACATTGCCGGACACTGCCGGACACTGCCGGACACTGCCGGACATTCCGAACACTCCGGACATTTCGGACACCATCGGACATCACCGGACATTCCGGACACTGTCGGACACTGCCAGACACCGTCGGACACCGTCGGACATTGCCGGACACTGCCGGACATTCCGGACACTCCGGACATTTCGGACACCATCGGACATCACCGGACATTCCGGACACTGCCGGACACTGCCGGACACTGCCGGACATTGCCGGACACCGCCGGACACTGCCGGACATCACCGGACATTCCGGACACTGCCGGACATCACCGGACATTCCGGACACTGCCGGACACCGCCGGACATCACCGGACATTCCGGACACTGCCGGACACCGTCGGACGCCCCCGGACACCGCCGCGCATCCCCGGGCGCTCCGGCCCCGCGCACCGCGTTCCCATTGGCTGTCTGGGAGTGGCCAACGCCCCCGCGCTGACCAATCAGCGCTCGCCGCGCCGCTCCCGCCCCTCCGGGGCGCGGCGGGGGCGGGGCCGCGGCTCGCGGGCTCCTCTTAAACCCGCGCGGCCCCGCGCCTTCATCTTCATCATCATCCTCATCATCATCGCCTTCCTCACCTCCCACAGGCACCGTCCCCTCCGTCCCCACAGCGGCCGTGTCCTGGGCAGCGTCCGGAGCGCGCGGGTGAGGCGGCGGCCGCAGCGGAGGGTTGGGCGGGAGCCGCCGCATCCCGACGGCCGCAGGTTGCATCATCCGCGGGAGCGGGATGCGGGGGGGACAGGGCTGGGGGTGGCCGTGCCCCACATCCCACAGGGGATGGGCGATGGAGGGCTGCGGGCCGGAGCGGATTGCCCGCGGAGGCTGTGGAGTCTGGCTGGGTGAGGATATTCCAGAGCCGGCTGGATGCGATCCCGTGCCATGTGCTCCGGGATGGCTCTGCTGGCGCAGGGAGTTTGGACAGGTGCCGCACTGTGCCTTTCCAGCCTGACCCATTCTGTGATTCTGTGCTGGGCTTCTCTTTTGGTTTTGCAGTGAAGGGAGAGGCAGCTGCGGGTGAGGGGAGCCCCGGAGGCGCCCGGCGGTGCTGGCTCCGCTGCGGATGCCCAGGAGGGTGCCTGGGGGCGCCTCCTCTGAGCCCGGAGCAGGGTTGGGCTCTCTGCTTTTCCTACAGGTTCACAGGATGACTTTGTGCCTTTTGGGTCTTTCTCGGGGCTTGGCAGCGTCTCTCCAGCTGGTCTGGGCTCGCTGCCCATTGTTCTCGTGGGTGCCATGAGGTTCTCCTGCAAGGTTCTTTGGCAATTCTGGCTGATGCACTGGACCATGAAGCTTTTTTTTTACATTCGATTTCATATATTACCCCTCCCCACTTGGGAGGGATCTGAACTTGGCTAGGACCTTGGGAGCCGTTCAGTAGCTGTGTTAATAATGCTCCTGGTGTCTTGAGCCAGCCACAACTTGAAAGACGAGTGATTCTTCTGTTCCTGGTCGGGTTATCTAGTCTGCTGTGTGTCTCTGTAATCCCAGAGCCTTTGACCAGGGAGGTTTTGGAGTGCTGGGCCCCGTTCCAGCAGAGTTGCTCACTCTGCTCACCCTTGCCAGGAGTCTGTTTGCTGATTTGAGGTGTGAGAGCTCCGTGTTCTTCCACGCTTGCGCTGTGGAAAGGCGGAAAAACACAGAGCTTGGAGGCAGGGGAAACGTGGGGATCCTGTGTGGGAGAGAAAAGGCATTTCCTGGGAAGCTGGGACCTGCTCAGAACCTGCTGCTTCTCTTCTCTGGCTAGATCACCACTGGTGAAGTGTGGTTTAGGTGCCAGTGCAGTCCCAGTACTGGGGATTTGCACTCACATCCTTTTCCATACCAGCTGGTGGCCCTTGGTTCCCTGCCCTACCCAGCTTCCCTGACTCCAGAGCCTGCTTCTAACGAGGGTGGTGGCAGCCAGGGGCAGGAGTGACCCCTGTCCTGGAGTGTGCAGGCTCAGGGACTGGCAGCACAGCAGCCTGCCAGGGTGGCTAGCATGGGCTGGCCCCTGGCTACTGGCCTGTGGCCTGCACGTGAGCACAGGAACCAGGCACACAGCGGTGCCGTGCTCCTGGCTGCTCTGGGGGTCCTGCTAAAAGCTCCACAGCTGCAGCCAGAGTGATGGCAGCTGGTCTATTCCACAAAATGTGCATCAGCCAAAAGCTGCCTTCCTGCCCAGCTCTCTGCCAGCCTTTGTCAGAGCTCCCTGGGTGAGCAGAACTTGGGAAGCCGTGCAGGAGGCACGGTGGTGCTGGGGAAGGTCTGCTGTGCTTCTGCCTGTCTTAGTGACCTGGTCCAAAACAGAGAGCAGCTCCCTCTTTTTGTCCTGCTGGACAATTTGTTTAATCTCTGAGCATCTGTCACCCTGCCTGGAGTCCTCCTCTCCCTGTGCTGGGTGAGCTGGGCTCAGAGATCTGCTTTGGTGAGCAGATCAAGAGCTCTGCTGCAGTGTTGGTCCATCTCTGTGTGCTCAGGAGGGGGAACTAGAAGCAGGGAAAAAAATACTGAAAGTTTTTGACTGCAACAGGTAAAAACACAGATAAAGCATTCTCCAGTCTTTTCTCTAATGCTGCTGTGCCCCTGAAGACATCAGTCTTCACTCAGAATGCTTCTCACGTGAGTCCAGGGTTATCAGTTCACTCCAGGGCTGGAGTGAGCTCAGGACATGGAGCTCTCAGACACCTGTGTGAGGGCTGCAGGCACAGCTTCCCTTCTCTGGGGGCACAGCAAACTGAACACTCCCCTGTTCTCCCTGGCTAGGATTTCTAGAATAGCAATTGTTATTTCTAGAATAACAGTAGTTTTTCTAGATATTGTTATTTCTAGAATAACCATAGTTATCCTAGAAATTGTTATTTCTAGGATAACAACTGCCACAGCAATGGGAGTTGCTTTGCTGCTAGAGTTTAATCTTTGCAAGGTTACAGAGGTGAGGGCATTAAAGAAGTGCCTCTTTCCTTTTAGAAAGTAATGAGTGAGCCAGTCTGGCTTTTAAAGAGTGATCAGCGAGAGGACGTGCAAGTGCTCACCTGCTCTGTGGGAGAAAATGGAAATAAGACTTTGGATTCTTGAAGGATCTCTGCCTAGGGCCAGATATTAATTAATTCATTCCCCAGGTCACTTGATATCTCCTGGCACAGGAGGGATGGCTGCTCCTGAGGAAGCAGCAAGGACACACACACTCTCACAGAAAAAACCCAAATATTTGACTTTCTCCTTAATCTGTTCCAGCTATGGTGTTTCCAAAGGCTGGATGGGCACTGCTGCATCTGCTTACCTGCAAAGACCCTACAGCTCTGTAAGACCCTGTGGTGCTCAGGCTGAGCAGAACAACTGTTCTGCAGTGGTTCATTTGTTCACCTGCTTAACCCCATCAGGTTTCCCTTTCTCAGGCTGCAGCAGAATGGAATTCTGTATCCCATCCCTGCCTGAGCAGCCCCCTGGGGCCACCTCCCTCTGATTCAGCTCTTCCAGTTGCCTGTTGGACAGCTTCATCTGTGCTCCAGGGCAGCCTCAGCTGACCTGCCTGTTGCACAGGGGGTGTGTAAATAGTGCAGTGCATTAGTGCTGGTATCACACTCCTGGCACAGCCATGGAAACTGCAGCTCCTGACCCGTCTGTGCTCTGAGTCCAGCTCAGCTGCTCAGCATTTCACTCTCTGGCCCCCAGTCCTGCTCTCCAGGAGCTGAGAAATACTTTCCCTGTGGAGATGGATGCAGGGGTGTGAGCTTTGCCCGTGAAACTTTCTGGATCTCATCCCTCTGTCCCACTCCCCTTTGTGACTTAGGTTTAAGTGGCTTTGCAAATTCTCTGACTAATTAATTTTTGTTTGCCTCTGTGATCTGCAGATACAATGGCAGGAGCTACTCAGGCTTTTCTAGTTAGACTCTACCCACACCCCCAGCTAGTTATGGGAGTGTTCCCCTTTACAGGAAAATTAAATTCAGGCTGACAGAATTTTTTTTTCCCTGAAGATGGGCAGCTTTTCCTGCAGCTTTTCTCCCTTGGCCTCTGCTGAGCAGTGTTCAGCTGCAGCTACAGAAGCAGAGTTGCCATCCTCCTGTCCTGCTTCCCCAGAAAAAAATGCTGTTTTGGGCCTGTAGGGAGGATCAGGGTGGGAATTTGGATGTCCTAGACCACATCTGACCCCATTTTGCTGAGGTTGTGTCACCTAAGGCTGTAAGCAAAGAATTATGTTGCTTAAGGTTAGTGTTTGGTAACAGGATTTTTAGCTTTTTGTCTCTCTCCTCGTTTTTGTGCAGTTGAAGCCCCATTATTGAAACTTGGATCAAACATCAAGTATTGCCATTATGAAAATGTGAGAGAATCTCACAACTTATTTAAGGGCAATAAATACAGCTTTTTCTCAGTCTCTGCTGTTCAATAAGTAATGAGAATTGCTGTTAGTAAATTATTAAATTTTTGCCTTACAATAAAGAAAATGAGGTGTTGTTGCCTTGCCCAGTCCAGAGGGAATGCTCCAAAAAGCAGCTTTTTGAGAGCCATATTAATTTCTGTCCTGCCATCAATACAAAGAACAAATCATGTAAACCTCTTAAATTTTTTTTTTTTTACTGCAATGAATTTCTCCCTCTTTCATCTCAGTTTTTGTACACTCTTGAAAGACACTGAGAGCTGGTGTTGTAAAGCTCTTGAAGGTTTTGTGCTCTTATTTTATGATAACTTAGAAGTGGAACAAAATTTTCTCTTTCCTGTTCCTAAACTCTTGCTGCTTTTGTTGTGTATTTTGCAAAGATTTGATCCTTTGGCAGCAAGGTCCCCTTTTTAGCTGGACTTTGTCAATATTGTCAGTGTTACCTGTGGCACAGGCAGTCACTGTCTGTGTCCAGTGTTTGATGCCAGCTGTCTGAGGGAGCCTGTGCCTCACTGGAAACCTTGGAACTATTCCTGTACTTCTCCTTTACCAAAAAAAAA